TTTTCAATCAAACCTGTTTTTTCTGAGCGAAATATCGCTGGATTTTCTGTTGAAATATCTGCTAATGGTTGACTTTGAACAATATCAAGAAATTCTAAATAAGAAAATACTACTGTTTTCTATTTTTATTCATCGAACAAAAAAAAAAGTACGAACCAACAACACGTTGTTCAAGTTCTTGTGGTTTTAAATGAAATATATTTTCTTGTGTACCAAAATCAGCTCGATAACATGTTTCAACTTCAAGTAAAAAACGATCAATAAATGGACAACGATAACGTGTTTTTGTATAAGGATAAGCATTCCATGCTTCTTCTTCAATTTTCATTGCATTAGCTGGTAATATTGCTTTAAACCAACCAGGTAAATGACGTTCAATATGATAAATTTTAAAAGTATATTGTCCATTACCACCGGGTCCATTTGTATAAGGTTCATTTTTAATTATTTCAACACCACTACCGGAAGAATTAGTTTCTTCACGACTTTTTTTCTAAATAAAATTCTTTTTTTTTAAATATGAACGAAAAAAAAAACAGAATCTAATTAAAAGATTAGTAATCAATTATAATAGTTAGACTTCTAACAAAACGTGCAGCAATGAAACCTCTTTTAGTTCTTTTTTGTTTTTTTTTACCTCTGACGTGTCTAAAAAAAAGTGTAGTTTTAAGGTATGATATTTGTGTAAGATGCAAAAAAAAAGAATTTTATCACCTACCACAATCATATACAATTGAGCTATACGATATTCATCAACGGTCATAGGAACCGGAATACGATATTCTTTAATAAGCATTTTTGTCAAGTAAATTAATATAATATAATGATGTGTGAGTATAGAAAAAAGACATTTATTGTATTGTTGTTGTTGCTTGTCATTATAGATCCACTATGTGTGTATGTAGATCATCTGAAATCATTTGAGAAATAGTAGACGTTTTTTTCCCCTCCTATTTCTTATGCTTGCTGTCTTTGCCTTTCTATCTGTCGTTTTCTCGAATCAACGGCAATGATAAATAAAAAGGAAAAACGAGAGAGAAAAGAAGAGAAAACAACGATGATGACTGCCGACTTTTTTTTTCTGCTTTACACACATGTCAAAACATGATGGTAATACGAGCGTCTTTCCGAAAGCAAACGTTTCCTTATTTTTTCTCCTTCCTCCTACTCTTCCTTCATCAACATCCGAAAAATAAATCAATAACGTACGCATCAACATCTATATAGCTTTTCTGATGAATTTTACTACTCTAATATGCAGCCTATATAAGTCAAATGGGAAAATTTTGATGATACTTGATGCGAGTTCATGCGCGTGTGCACTTGCTATATATTACGATTAAAAGTGTTTGTGTGTATTCTTGGGGAAAAAAATGTAAAAAAAAAGAGATGCTTATTTATTTCACCTATAAATATTTTCTGCTGTAGTAATTATACTTAGAAGCGACAAATTTTCTATAGAATAGTATATTTTACACTCAATAATAATACAATGCTAAAAGGCAAGAAGTAACGAAGAAATAATACAAAAGCATGAATTTTTGGCAAGCTTGATTGCTATAGACTGCTTCTCTATATTGGAATAGTAATGGACATACTAAAAAGTAACAATGTAAGAAACAAATAGATTTTATTCAAATAATCAATAAGAAAATTTAGTATTTGGTTTATTATGACCTAGATTGATCTAGGTCAATCCGTTAATATATTTACTTAAAAATCTGTAACCAATATAATTTAATTTATTGGTCAATACTAATTAATATGGAATATAGAAAACAAAATGCATTATTTTCTTCATTAAATTAACTAAAAATATGGAAATGATCTTAATACATATTGCAAACATTTAGATAAAATTTCTTATGTAATATTAAATATTTATTAATAATACAATATGTCATATTACGATAATGACAAAAAAGAATGTATAAATGAAATGAGTTTCTTTTTCAGGAAAAGCAAAGAGATCAATACTGATATTGTTCTTATCTGGAAGAGTTCTTTTTCTTTTCTATAAATTCAGGCGCAAATGTGTAACATAAACAAATGATTTCATTGACAAAAAGAACAGGAAGAGCAAATTAACATAATTAGATTTCATCTCATTTTAATATCAAAAAGAGATTTATATTTGCTAAACAAGAGTATAGAACTTCACAATCGATTCTTCTAATATAACCTAACAAAATACAACTCAAATTCTTTTCGCTATGAACCGATTACTATTTTAATAATGAGATGCCCATGAATGACGTATTTCTGTTAGCTCAAATATTTGTCTATAAGAAATTTTCTATTTCCGCAAACAAATAGAATTACATGTGTGTATTTTTATAAGAGATTTTTTGCCAGAATAACTTCACCTTTGTCAAATAATTTATATATATAAGACGCAAAAAATAAATCCAAAGGATTTTTTTGCGTGACTATAAAGCTTGTTGGATGTGTATTTGAGGAAAAAAAAAGATCACGCGATTAAATCATTTTCATTAAAAATATTTGAATAATGAGACGATGTTTTTCTTCTTGAATATATATATATATATATATACGTATCTATATACGTGACAATTCAATTCTAATATTTGACAACTCAAATATCACGTAGATTTATATTTCATAACATAATGTGGTGTTGTTAAAGGCAAGAATAACATAGATGTGACAGACGATGTTAATAAATTATGTTTTTTGTTTTTTCTCATTGTCACTTATGAATTTATGTTATTATTAATTGTGAAACATGAGTTTTTACTTTATCATGATATTCTTATTAAAAGTTTTTTTTTTTTTTTCATATATTAACAAATAAATGAATTTTTTATTCTATTGATTAAATTAAGAAGTATTTTTCTGACTGTTTAAATAGAGTGACATGTAGAGAATGTCAATTTTTCTTTATGCTAATATTTTCTGTTTATTAATGTTGATATAATTTTTATTGAATTTCATTAAAAAACAATTCACGTAAGATTTGTAATCGAAAATAAAAAATGATATGATTATGATGACAAGATATTCCAATCTGAAATGAGATT